AAAAGGACTGGAATGGACCCCAGCTGTTTTCTACTCTAAGTACTTCCCTTTACATTTTCTTAGCCTCAGGTTACTTAGTTTAGACAGAGCTGAACCCAGAACCCAGGTTTTTAGACTCCCAGACCTTGTAGCACCAGAATTCTCCAGCTTTAGCAGGGTCTACTTACTTCAAATATTATTTGATACACTAACATTTCAAATCACCAAAATAATAATACGGCAATTTTAAATTTATTATAATAGTATGTGAGCTTCACTACTCTGTATGTAGAATGAATGAAGTAAAAAAAAATTTCAATATTTTCATCCCAGTTCACAATATTATGGAACAGTGCTAATTCAGTCTTTCCGGAAGTATAAACATTTTACTGAAGGCTTCGTGTCTGAAATGGCATGGCTTGAATAAAACTAGGCTCCAGTTTGATTTTGTTTTGTTTTGAAAGTGGCAAGACCCTGATACAGACCTCGGAGTTGCTCTGAGGGACATAATTATAAGGCCAATGATGTGGGACATAATTGTAAGGCCAATTGCCTTTTTACCCAACAGAGGAATGGAGGTTCTGAGGAATGAATGGACTTGCCCAAGGTTAGCAGTGCTGGTTAGTGAAAGGGCTGATCTAGTACTAGAAGTCATATCTCTTGTTTTTCAGGCCATATTTTTAGTATGTGACACTGCCTTCTGCAGAATCTTAACACAGGAAGAAAAACAGTAAATAAATTAAATACTTGTGTTTTTAAAGCCTAAATACGTACCCAAGCATTCCTGACTCTTTGGTCTTTATGATGTAAAGGAACATTAATAATGTATGAAACATATTATTTCGGCCCTGGAACAAAGACAAAAAAGACAGCAAGATTTAAACCAAACTGAACAAAAGATTCAGTCTGATAGGTAAATGCAGATCCTGCCAATTCACATTCTATTAAGAATTACATGTAATTCAGACTTTCATTCACTCATTAAACAAAGTGCCTACTTTGTGCTATGAAGTGGGAACACTGTAGTGAATAAGACAGAGGATCCATGTAATCAAGGAGCTTAAAGTCTAGTAGAAAAGCAGACAGTAAACAGAATTACAAAAAGTGTGATGAATGTTAGGAGAGGGGAGGTAGAGGGTGCCATGGGAACACATGCGGGCATCTGACCCAGACTGGTGAGGCAGGGAATGCCTCCCCGAGGGAAAGATTTTTAAGTTGAGACCTGAAAGATCAGCAGAAAGTAAACAGACTGGGAAGTTTCCACACACGGGGAGCAGCATTTCCGGAGGCCTGAAAGACAGCTAGTCGGAGGCTGGTACCCCTGTAGACTACACACAAAAATGCCCTACCTTAAAAATAAACATCATAAATAAAAGTGTGGGGATTAAAAAACTTTGAATCACACTTGAAAACATATTACACTATATGTTAATAACAGTATAAGTAACATGTTAAATATAAATTTATTTTGTCTACAAGGAACGAGGCAGCATTTGCTAGTCCTAAAATTAAACTATTATATGTAATTTCTCGTCTGTAAACTAGTTCCCAACTTAGATTTTCGATTCACTGATTAACTTGTACCTGCTTATTCATTTAGTGTTTTTTTCCCTCAAGAATCTGAGGATATATTTTTAAAAGACAGCATTTCTTAAAAAAAAGAATTTACATGGGTACTCAAAGAAACTTCAATGGCCCCAAATATTTACACTTACAAAGGTAAAATATTAAGCTTCAAAAAAAATGAAACTAATCTTCTCTGAGAATCTGATGGAGAACACGATTTGTCGATGTAATACTCCTTAGTAAAGATCCTGGTAACAAAAATAACTGCAAAGGTCATCAGCAGAACTGACGTTTGTAATCAAGAGTAAAATACATGGATAGAAGTGTAAATTGATACAATAATCTTTTTTATAAAGTAGTTTGATAATATATTTTTAAAATCTTGAAAATATTCTGTAAGCTTGAATTTCACTTTTAGACTTGAGGCTAAAGAAATTACTCAAAATGCAGACAGCTATATGCATGAAGATAAATATTCAGGAGTATTTATGATAATGAAGAATTAGAAACATCCAAAATGTCCGACAGCAGGGAATGGCTGAATAAATTGTTATAATCTTACGATAATTTTTTTATAGCCATTAAAAAGTATTTATGAAAAATTTTAATGGTATGGAAAATTATTAAAGGCATATAAAACTACATAAATGATTTCAACCCACAAAAAATTACAGAGAAAGACCAAAATGAAATTTACCAAAAGGCAATACACCAAAATGTTAACAATAGCTGCCTCTAAGGAATGGAATAATGAGTGATTTTTTTCTTTATACTTTTCCAAATTAAGCATATAATACTTTTATAGTTAAAAGAAAAAAGGGAGATACACATTTCCTCTAATTTAAAAAGTTTACCTATTCCATAAACAAGAGAAACTAATTTTAAAAATATCATCAAAGCAAATCATCCATAACATTCTATAATAGCAACTCCTACATTTTGAAGTACCTTTGGAAGATTGTAGACATGACGCTGGTAGATTAGCTCATAATGGGGAGGGTTGATAGCACTCTGGTAAATGCAGAAAACATTTTCATTTGTCACATCTGTAAAGGAAATATGCTACATGAAAAAACAAAGGAAACCACTCGATGTATTTCATATGGAAAGCTCAGCTCATTCTATTAGAAGAGGCTCATACCTGGTTTATTTGGTGTCTGAACAAAGTGCTGAGAAGTAAATGTTTTTCCATCAGGGTATTTAGGATGTGGAGGTAATCTGGAATCAAGGTAGGTGCAAAATACATGCATGATGATCTAAAAATGAGGAAATAATATTTCAAAGTCAGCATTAAAATCTATCATGGATATAACCCTTTAAAAACATCTGTTTATAATGACTCCAATTTTTAACTCTT